TCTCCAACGACATTCATCATACGAACCTGGAAACACGCCGGAAACGTTGTTGTAAAGTGCCATTAACAGCCTTAGTTTCCTGTTTTCACATAAGAACCTGGGAAAATCACCTGAAAATTGATTCTCCGATTTGTCGATACTGTCTAGCATAGAAAATCTGGCAAAATTCAAAGGAAATTTACCGAAAAAGTTGTTTCTATAAACAGAGAAGCCTACAAGATGATGCATATCACCAAACTCCGCAGGGATTTCTCCAGAAAAAGTTGTTATAACATTGAAAGATCACCAAATTCTTCAGATTCCCAATCCCTTGGTGCAATCCCCATGCATCTGATTCGACGAGATATCTATTTCCCGCAACAGAGAAAGATCAGCAATCCCTGGTGGCAACTGACCAGTAAAATTGTTGAAGAACAGCTCAATCTTGGTAAGGTTTTTCAATTTGGAAATAGAACTGGGAAAATCCCTCAGAAATCTTGTGAGGAGGTAGGGAAATCAAAAAAAGAAAAAAAAATGAGAAAGAGGCAAAAGAAAAAGAGGTCACTAGTTACAAAAGCCAAAAGAATAATGACCCATGGGAGGTGAGTGAACCTAATTGTGAGAAGAAAAGAGTGGCTCAAAATCTATGTGTGAGCACAAAAGAATTGAGAGAGAACCTTCTTTACAAACAACCTTCCATCCTTGTTCTCTTTAGAGAATCAATTGTTTCGATTTCTAACATTAACAAGGATTTGCCTAGTGTGTTTTCATCTTTGTTACAGGATTTTCGAGAAGAATTAGGTGATCCACCTGACGGATTACCACTGGAAAAAGGAAAACAACACCAAACCAATCGAATTCAAGGTTCCATCATACCTCATCAAACATACAATCTCGAAGAAACCAAAGAGTTAGATTTGTTACAAAAAGGCTACATCCATGAAAACCTTAGTCGTAACGTTATCTTAATGACGAAACATGACTTGAACAACTCCACATGCTTTATAGTTCGTGCACAGGGAATCCATGTAAATTATGAGAAAGTAAAAGCAACACGAGACTGGCCCACACCATCTTCTATCGCCAAGAGTTGTCGAATAGTGCTAGGTGACCCTCCTGACGGGTTACCACCTGAAAGCCCTAATCACTATGCCATACCAATGAAGAGTCACGATTTACGAGAGTCCAAAGGTAAATATTTTATTACTCATTTTAATGACATTGTAACGTACTTCTTCTCCTTCTTACAAGGTAAGGCTCATGAAGTTGTCATCCATACTAAACACAACTCCTTTAAGTGCGTAACATACCGAGGTAAGCAAAACATAATAGACGATACACTACCACGAAGGTATACTCTTACCTATCAAACTCATACTACTATTCCGAGAATTGAACATATCAAAGATGTATATCACGATAACTCGGATATTTCTGATATTTCTACCCATACTTTTAAAAGTGTTTTTAATGAGATTTATCTTGTATACGAGTTTTCTTGCCAACTAAATAGGTTCTACAGTCCACAAATCTCCTCCTAGGAATCATTAATTCATGAACCACACTTAGGAGACTTAAGAGATTACTTTAACAAACCAGTTGACATGGTTTTTAAACACTCACTCTCGCCACACATGAATAAAACCATGGAGAAATTATCTGAAATAATCATACAGAAAGCCAACAGTGGCCGGCGCCATGTTGAAATTCAACCAAAACATCAGATTACAAGACTTGTATGCAAAAGAGGATTTCAAGACTACAAGAAATCAGTTCCTACAAAGAAGAAACCTCGACTAAAATGCATAAAGACACATCACATTGATCCTGGTAAATGTTTCACAAATTTTTCTTTCATCACATCTAAATCTCTTTCTTTTGGATTTTCATATTCGAGGACGAATCCTTTTTGAGGAATGGGGGAATGATACATGCACCAGAGTCCATAATACATGCTTCTTTGGACTAATGTTTCTACTCGAACCTATTAGAAGAACAAAGTCTCGAAGATTCAAAGCATATCTATTCGGTAAGCATAATGTGAATGAATTATTAAACTATTCTAATGTTGCTCCTTTTAATGTTTCAGATTCGAGGTCAAATCTTTTTAAAGAAAGGGAGGATGATACATGCATCACAAGGTTCACATCAAAGGAAGAAGTAATAACTCTTCCAAATGATTCACTCGTCCAAGCTTTGGAAAAGAAGATCAGAACAGCAGCAGACTTGCAATGACTTTTTAATGGGATACTGATCTTATTTGGTCAACATGTCTTCTGAAGATACAACCGTTTGTCCCTTATCTTTCCAACGGTTCTTGAATTGCATCAATCCGATATCGGGAACTCAAGATATAGCCATTTTACTAAAGACGGTGCATGCATAAAATCTTATACGGGATTTTGTAAATATTACGAATTTTCAATATTTTTTATTGATTATTTGTAATATAACTTAATATAGGATGATGCATTATCTTTTAGGATTAGATTTATTATTTTATTAGGAATTAAGGTTGGGTTAAAATATTATCTTTAGTTATTATTATTTTATTAGGAATTAGAGTTGAGACATGTTTAGTTTATTATTATTTTATTTATTAGTTATCTAAGGCCTTTAGAACTCAGCCCCTATATAAAGGAGGCTTCATTCAACTTTGTAATTCAAGATTTCTTTGATTAATAATACAACGAGAGTTCTTTTTTGCAAGTGCTGATTGCCTTGTGCCTTCGAAGCTTCTTCTCCTTGAGTTCTTTCAAGTTCTTGTGAGGGAGATTAATCTTCACACTCCAATTTGCCTTTTCATCGCGACTAGGAGGTTTGGTTAGAGCCATATTATCGTGTTTGCCTTTTCATTGCGACTAGGAGGGCTCGATAGGACATTATCCATTGATTTTCCACTTATCCATACACGTCATCAATCATCTTTACCGTTCACCTTCATAAGGGAGATCTTTTGATTTCTTGGTTATCTTATTTTATTTGCAATTCCTTTATCTTTTCTTTATCTTGTTTTAATCTTATTTCTTATCTTGTTTCCAGCACCAAAAAGAAACCCTAAAAAACCCTATCTATTGCCGCCACATTCCCCATTCATCCCTTATTATTCTTCATCGAGTCTTAGATCTTTTCTAGGTTTGATTCTTCAACAAGAGCAATGTTCATTAACCCGCCACCGCTTATCCCATTACATATGGGAATAAGGGTCAGCTAATTTATAGACGCTGGAATTTGTCCTCTACGGAAAGACGTTGGATTCGAGAGTAGAAAAATGGGTGCTTAACCATTGATGAATAGTGAAATCCTTGAACATAATAATTTCATAATTTGGAAGATGAATTATTGACATTTGCTACGGATAATTCCAATACCATCCTGGCAAGTGGAAAAAGCTGAAATGGAAAGACACAATTACATAAATAAAATGGTTGAATTGTTTTGTTATTATAAGTGAATAGGAATAGGACTTCATTGAAAACGCCCTTCATAATCGAAGTTAGGAATGGCAACGGGAGGGTTTGGGGCGGGTTTTGGTCTCCCGTCCCTGAAATGAATTCTTGTCCCCGTTCCCCATCGGGTTTTTTATCGGGACGCCCCGTCGGGGATTTTTTTGCCCCGTCCCCAAACCTGACCTGAAATGTTGTACCCGACCCGATCCCGAGAAAAACCGAGTAGTTGTAGTTTTCATAAAAAATAGAAAAAACGATCACAAAAAACTGAAAAATTAGTCTACATGATTTACAATTCAAACTACAGTCACAAATTCAAATTTAATTATAAATAATTGTCTAAACTCCACAATAAAAGCGCATACATAATTAAATACAAATTCAAATCATACAACGAAGATGCATACGTAATATTAAATCAAATAAAGTCATCCAAAATCGTCGTGCCACTTTTGTCACTTTCTTTGGTAGCTCCCTACATTGAGAAATTTATTAATAAATCAACCAAAATTTACTTTAATAATTATAAAAACATGTTACCAAAATAGTAATGTTTTTATAAACATTATTTACCTCATCCACGTCATAATCATATTCAACAGAGCGACAATATGCATCGGTCTCTTCCAAACAAGTTTCTATAATCAGAATAACATAAATTATCCTTTAACACAGATATCATTCAAAAAGGAAATGACATATAAGTTAATATAGAATACAGTGTTACCGACTTACCTCGAATCTCATTCAACAACCTAAGTTAAATGTTTTATTTGTATTATATATAATTAATATAAAATATATAAAATATTATATATATATATATATATATATATAATCGGGGCGGGGATACCTTGCCCCGAACCCGAACCCAAAAAAATCTTCGAATTTTACTCTGATACCCGACCCGATATTATTCAAACCGACCCGACCCGACCCGAACTTAACCGGATTTCAGGTTTTCTCGTCGAGTTCGGGTCGTTTTGCCATTCCTAATCGAAGTTCAACCATTGAAGGAAGGAAAAGAGTCCTTTTCTATTACTGAATCACACAACTACATAGTTTGTATACCAACTTCTTGCTACCAAGCACAGACCACTATCATAATATAGAGCATAAACAAAAGTTTAACATGAATAAACATTCTGTGAGTAAAGGTTTTAGATTTTTGCTGATCAAGAGAGATGTGTCGTTGAGACGTCAATTTCGTTTGTAGCTGTGGATTACTATTGGAATTGATAAATTAATTATTAATCATTATTATTGTAAGGGAAAAAGAAAAGAAAAACAGATGGCTTGGGCAGGCTTTGAAGTTAATCATTACTGCAGAGATTCTTTTGTAAAGCATAGAAATGGTTAAAAGAAACAAGGATTCTTGAATAGAGAATATCGAAAAGATTAGTTGAAATTATGAACATTTCTTGGATTAATCATAAATATAATAAACAGTTACTTGTTTAGGATCAAATTAAACCCAGATTAAAACATTTGATTTTGGACGTTATTAAGATCAAACTTAATTGATTTATTCGAGTTTTCAATTAAGGTTGAGAGGTACAACCCACAGCTAGAAAACAGCGACGGAAAACGATACACAATTGAAGCTTAGAAATCTGTGTCTAAAGCAGGGCAAGTTGATGAACATTAATGGGATAAACTTCAGTTTGAAGCTTAGAAGTGAAAGCCTTGATTGCTATTTCTACATTCACTGCTTCCGTGGGATGAAGCCCATCGAAGAACACATGACCCCTTCTGTCGTTGCATGTTCTCCCACCTTCCTTGCATAAAACCCCACCGCCTCCCAACTGTGACGATGCCACCACTTCACAACATGCATTGTTAACATCTCTGAAACCTGTTCCAAAAATAAACACCGCCAATATCTAATTACGTCCCGTCTGATTGTGGCAACAAACTAGTTTTGTCCTGATTAATATACTACTCGTGTTACCTCTGGAGGAAGGGTTTTCGATGCTATCGCTTATAATCTTGTAAGAGTTGACAAAAACAAGATTGGATTCTGGCATGTCAGATTTAGCCACATCTACCAACCATTTTAACCCGTCGTTGAAGAGCGTGGCCGCCCGGTTCAGAGCTTCGATGCAGTTGCTTCCGTTTCGCAATGCGTTCACCATTGGATAACATCCCAGTGGATTTATCGACATCAACACAAACTTCCTTGCTCCTAATTTGTACAACTTCTGCAATAAACAACCCATGTTTACAATTACAAGTATATTTAATAAAACATAATATTGGGAAAAGGACGCACCTTGAGTTGGAGGGAAAGTGAATTGGTGAGATTGGCAGTGAAATCTTGAAGGGTGAGATTGTTGTCGCCTCTTCTCAGGAAGTAGTTGAAGGAATAGTCGTTCCCTCCCGTTCCCACTATGAACATGTAGTTTTTTATAATTTCCCTGGTTCCCAACTGTTTTTCCAGTTCCGGCAATGTTATCTCCTCCAAGTTCTTTATTTGTTGATTTAGAGTTATCACTTGCCGCCGTTAATTTCCAATTCTCATTCGTTAATTAAGTCATCTTTTCAAATTAATCATGGTAAACGGCAACTTTGTCTTACCGCAACAAAACCAGTTTCGTCCAAAATACCAGAGGCACCAGAGGCAAAGTTGACACCATGGACCACTCTGATGCCCTTTGTTGAAGGGTCGGAAAAAGTTGGAATAAGACACGGAAGCATAAGCATCTCACCGAGCAGGTCAACGACATTTTTGCCGTTCGTAAACCGGCCAGTTGGTCCGAGAGGGAAGTCAATTCCGTAGGGCAAGAAATCAGCTTTAGCCAACGAGTTTTGAAGGAAGTTGTTGTTGCCATTGTCGACCAGGGAGCTCCCGAATACGAACATTCCTTTGATCTCATGGAGGGCGTCACCTTTGCTTTGGTAGAAACAGGCAAAGAGTTGAAGGCATAAAAGGATAAGCGCATGTGTTACCTTTTTATCCATTAATTGATTGCTACTTGCGTGGAAAGAGTGGAGGGGACTTGTATTTATAGAAGAACAAAGGCTGTGAGTCTTAATCGTTCAGATGTTTGGTTTTAATTATCATGTCTCATCTTCTCTATATTAATATGTCATCAACAAAGATGATCTTGAATTAATATAAGGATTTGGGTATGCGTTATTTAATATTTATAACTTTAAAGCAAAGAATCATGAAAAAAATTAAACGTTTTAGTAAGTATTTTTATTAAAAAATCGACATTTCAAAAAGATTAATAATTAAATTTAACTTAAAAATAAATTGATAAATATATATATATATATATTAAAACTTTTTTTTTGAAATGATATTTATTTATCGAAAGTCGCGTATTGTCAATTACAGACTAAAAAAATACATGGAGGAGAAAAACTTGAAAAAGAGCCAAAACGACCAACGACTCCGAGCAACGACGTACATAAACGGATCACACTAACGACTCCGAGCACCAAACATGGAGGAGAAAAACTTGAAAAAGAGCCAAAACGACTAACGAAAAAAAGCGATTTTCCCTTAACGACAATCCTATCTGGCACATATATGATATAACCAACAGATCGTCTTGTACAAATAAATAGAGAAACAAGGCACCGGGAAAGCAACCAATCATGGAATCATGTAGAATCAGAGACCGAGAAGAAGACCATTAAAAGAAACCTGCACTGGAAGTCCACAAATATCAGTAGTCATGATACCCTTTATCAGAAAGGGCCAAGAGAAAACATTACTATTCAACTATGTTAAACTAAAATTGAAAAATTAGTAAAAGTAAAAAATTAACGAAAAAAGGGAACAAAAGGACATGGAAGTGACCGTGAATGACCACCATCGTTATCCCAAAGATATAACGTTGAGTAACTGACAAGCCTAATTCTCAAATAAATAAATAAAATAAAGTAATATAGAGAAGTAGGGTCGATCCGTGGGAACTAAGGAAGTTTGATAATGTTGTTTCTCGGATTGAATCAACTATAAGAAAATAAAAAATGGGGTTTAAAATCAATGAAAATAAATAAATAAATATTGAATAAAATAAAAATAATGATAAAATAAATAAAGTAGAAGAATTCAATAAAGATGATATAGCCTCAAGTTTTGATTAGCCTTAATTTCGATCAATTATCGAAATAAAATTTTTCCTTCGTGATCTATGTCGTTTGTAGTCAACAAGGCCCAACCCCTACAACTAACTTTTCTCTCCGGTTAATCAAAATTTTCAAGTCTATCTCCGAAATTCGATCTTTGTTGGTCAAGTCATGTCTATTGTCGTTAGATCCAAAATAACTTTAAATTCTAGAAAAGTATGACTCGAGTTATAGCGTCTCATCGAGAATCGAACTCGATCTTGATTGCCCTTAACGGACCGCCACTAAGTTTGTTGTCAGGAAGTCGAATTATGACCAACCGATCCGACTTCCAAACTTCAAGCAAAGCAGTCTTCAAATCAATGTGCATATTTTGAGTTAAAGATGTAATAACTTTTAAGAGAATGACCGATTGTCACTCTGAGTTTCCAGAGAATCAATAATACGATCTGAACGTATGAAGATCAAGATTCAATTCTCACTAATAGAATTGAGTTTCGCAAAAAATCTATGGCTAAGTAAAAGTTTAGACAAGCATGAATTGGATAATGTTTAGCATTATGGAAAGAAAATAAAGAAAGAAAGATGGAGATGAAAGAAAGTAGAACTTAAATAAATAATCAAGGAAAATAAATTTTAATATGAGTTTCAACTGTTGAACCTAAGGGGTATTTATAATCCGAGAGTTCTAAGTAAATAAAATAACTCATTCCTAAAATAATCAAACTAAAAGTCCTAATAAGAGTTCTAATCAAATAACTAATTCTTAAATAAAATAATAATAGAATAATCAAACTAAAAATCTTAAATTAAAAAGGTTTATCACAAAAGATAAATATTTAAGTCTTCTGATTGAATTATTCTCTATATTCTGGATAACCTTGTCCTAGGTAAATTCCAAATTAAATATTTAAGGAAGTTTTACTTGTCTTCTATAAGATGCTAAATGGATCATCGAAATCTATTAGTTTTTAGACTAATTAATCCAATAAAGTTCATGTCCAAAATAAACTTAAAATAAAGATAAATCAATAATATTCAAATGATAAATGAGAGGTAAATAATAATGTAATCGGCGGGCAAAGAAGTAAACCACTGCAGAGAAAAATTGGTTTCCTTTAAATGAAAGATTAAGTAATTAGTTAACCTATAAAGATCAATTATATATTAAAACTTGAATATATTAATATGCAATTCTTAAACTTTCTTATTTGTGTCTAAATGTCATCCTTTTGAATGCATTAGTTATAAAATTATTGTTAGTATAAAATTTTAATAGATTTGAGTAATTATATCTACAAAGTATACATAAGTTGTCAATGATTAAATATATATAAATTGATACTATCTCATAATCATCTCAAATTATTTACATATTCGACTGAATAATACATACATGATACAATATGGGTACAAGAGTATCCTCCTATTCAACAAGTTGTCATGTTGATGTTTTTAAAACATGTTTGATTTTTTTTACCTAAAAAATGCATATATGATGTATTTAGTATTCAAAATGTTAAATTCAAATCATGTCTAATTATTTTTGGTATGCTCTTACTTGTTAAAATATTGATTTTTTTGGTTTAGTTAACCTAATTTAAAAGCATACGCGAAGCATTGTATTAATTAAAACTTAATATTTTATAATAATATTAAGTTTATAAATTTTAAATAAAATACATATAATTCAAACAAATATATTTGTATGAAATAAAATTTAATATTTTTTATAATATTTTTTTATAATATTTAGTATATTATATTATTTTCCCCCATGTTATTAGTTTCATTTGTCAATGCGGAAAGGAAGAGCCAACGACAAAACATTAATTAATAAGACTGTTTCGTTGCCCGAATTAGGAAGTCTGTTGCACTGTACCGTCAGCAATGAATTGAACAGACTCAAGTTGTTGTTAATATTATAGAATAATACTTATTTTATATATATATTTATTAGAACAGTATTTAAATAGTATTATTAATTAAAATGGCATTTTTTTTATTAAAAAGTGACTATTTTGTGAGGTATGTCTCTCTAGACATGGTAGGCTTTTTAGACGATTTTTATTATACTAACACCATTCAAGATTAAAATGAAATTGTAGAATTATGAATCAATTATTTTTAAAGGAATGTAAAAATTTATTCAAAAAATAACGAGCACAAGGTGATAAAAGATAACAATGACATACGTGTATATGGGTTTTATTTTTAATCATTTAATACGTATATATTTAAAATATTACATTTAAATTCTTTAAAATTTTATATATAAACAATATGACATTTAATGTAAACATCGTATTACTTTTTTTCTCAATGTAACTCTCTAACTCAAAAAAAAATTTAATGTACTCCGTTGGCCAATATTTTCCGTTGTTCATCGTTATAGTGATGACGTAACAGTTCACAATACTGACATGGCGGTCTATGGTATTGACATGACAATTCGTGATGATTGATGATGTGGTGAATGACATAAAAGATGGGCTAAATTGATTTTTTTGATTTTGTTCAAGGGTCATATTGGTTTTTTAAGGGTTTATTTAAATTCTAAGAAAATAAAAATTATTTTAAATTTTTAAATATAAAATCATTCAAATATTCAAAAAATTAAAAATAATTATTAAAAAATAAAAATTAAATTATTAAAAAAATTGAATATACTGATTCATATTAGAAATGCTAAAATTACTATAAAATAATTTTTTTTAAATATATATACAGGTTATAAAACGATAATTTATAAACTATTAAAAAAATATATATATATATATATATATATATATATATATATATACATAATATATTCATATGATATATATGCATATCATCAACACTTATACAAATATTCTTACTGGATTTATCATAACTTATAAAATTTAAATTAGTCGAGACTTACAAATTTTAGATTAGTTGAAATTTACTATGTTTTCTTATTATCTTTTACGTCAAAACTTATTATATAATTATCTTTTAAATTGGTCGAGACTTACAAAAAGATAATTAGAAAATATAATAAGTTTCGATTAATACAAAAATTATAAGTCTCGATCAATTTAAATTGTGTAATTCTCGACCAATAATAATACTTTATATAGATGTTGATGATATGTCTATATCTCACACACACACATATACATATATATATATATATATATATATATATATATAATTTTTATAATAATTTTAGTATTTTTAATATATATTCATTTTTTAATATTTTGTTTTTTATTTTTAATATTTTTATATTAATTTTAATATATTTGAATAATTTTATATTTATAATTTAAAATGTTTTTATTTTAAAAATTAAATAAGCCCTTAAACTTATTAAAAATCAATTTGGCTCTCGAATAGAACCAAAAAAATCAATTTAGTCCATTTGACATATCATTAATATTGTGGGTTGCCACATCAATACTATGGACCGCCACATTAGCATCGTGAACTACCACGTTAGCACTATAGCAGTCAACGATGAAAAACGTTGATCACATTGAGTTTGTTTTCTGAGTTAGAGAGTCACGTTGAGAAAAAAATAATACAAGAGTCATGTTGATTTTTAAATATATATATATATATAGGGGTCTCTGATGTCTTTTTTTTTCCAAAAACTTATTGATTTTGAATATAAAATGATTACATTTAGTTAGAGTCGTGTCAATATAATAATTAAAAGTAATTTTAAATATTAAAATTTCAAATATTTTGTAAGATGACATATATCATTAATTCTAACAGTTTTGGGCAACAAAATATATTATTCCAAAGGTCATAAATGGGTGTGGAGGACAGGTAGTTTGAAAGAGTATAAGATACAATTTGTTAATGTAAAGTTAAAAAACGGAAAAAAATAGTTTTCGGTTTAAATC